TCCCTGCGGCCTTGTCTTCTCCAGGCTGAACCACCCCAACTGTCTCAGCCTTTCTTCATAGGAAAGGTGCTCCAGCCATTTTTGTGGCCCTCTTCTGGACCCCTTCCAACAGGTCCATGTCTTCCCTGTGCTGAGGGCTCCAAAGCTGGGCACAGTACTCCAGGTGGGGTCTCACCAGACCAGACCAGAGGGGCAGAATCACCTCCTTCGACCTGCTGGCCACACTGCTTTTGATGCAGCCCAGGATACAGTTGGCCTTCTGGGCTGTGAGTGCATGTTGCTGGCTCATGTCCAGCTTTTCATCTGCCAGTGCTCCTAAGTCCTCCTCTGCAGGGCTGCTCTCAATCCTTTCATCCCCCATCTTGTGTTGATACCAGGTGTTGTCCTGACCCATGTGCAGGACCCTGCACTTTGCCTTGTTGAACCTCATGAGGTTCACACAGGCCCACTTCTTGAGCTTGTCCAGGTCCCTCTGGATGGCAAGATGCTTTGTAGGTAAGGTAGTCCAGTCTTTCTGTTGAGGCAGGACAATCGCTAACACTAGGTCAATCAGGTGTAGCTTTTCCTGGACCAGTCTTGAAGAACTCCAAGAATGAAGATTCCACAACCTCTCCAAGCATGTCTTGCTGCCATAGTACCCTCCTTATGATGTCTTTCTTTCCTGATGTCCATCCCGAATCTCTGAAACTGAGATTTGTGTCCATTGTCATTATCTTAGGTTGCCTGCACTACAAAGAAGAGGTTTTTTTCCTGTCATAGTCACAGCTACTTTTTCAGGTAACTGTAGGCTGTTTTGAAATTGCTCCTTATCTGACTCTTCATGAGTCTAAATACACCTAGCTCCCTCATCCTCCTCTTAAGGATCTGCTCCAGGATTCTGATTATCTTGGCAGCTCTCTGGATCCTTGTCCTAAGTGGGTGAATCTGTGTTCACTACTGGTTGCCACTTTGTTCTGCATGTGCTTGGAATTGGATTCCAAGAGGATGTACTACATAATGTTTCCAGGGATTGAGCTGAGGTTGACCAGCCTATAATTCTGTGGATTTTTCACTTCTAGCCTTTTTAAAGATTGATACATTAACCTTTTTCCAGTCATCTGAGTATCTCGTGGTCACTGTGATTTTTCATGGATGATAGAGGGCTCGCAATCACATTGACCAACTGTGTCATCACCCTTTGGGCAATCCTATCTGTCCCCATAGGTATGGATGCAACTCTTAAGTCATCCCTAACTTGTTCCTTGACTGCTGACACCCTCCCAAACCATGTCACTTAGAGCTTTTGGAGGAAGCGTCACGGTGCATCATCTGTCACTGGACTGGCTTTCCTGACCATCATTGTATAAATAAGTTTTCTGAACTTCATTTTGCAACTAATGCACCTACGGAAATTCTTTTTTATTACCTTTTTTTGCCATTTCCTAGCTTAATGTTGGGCTCCAGCTGGGCTTCAAACTTCCTGATTTTGTATCTAAGTATCAAAACAGTGCTTTTATACTCCCCTCTCATTGTCTGTCCTTGTTTCCTGCTCTTGTATGCCACTTTCTTGCACATTCATTGAGAAACTCCCTGCTTGGCCAGTTGGGCCTCTTGCTGAAATTCCTGGTCTGCCTGTGTAGCAGGGTGGCCTGTTCTTGAGCTAGCAATATTTTAAAAATCAGCATGGACCCCTTTTCTCTTCATGCTGCTTCCCAGTTAATTGCACACGTTGTAGTACGTACAAATAACTTCCTAGGTAGAAGTTGCTTGTGTATTAAATGCAACACCTGTTGGTTATTAGTGAAGTACTTTACTCATGTGAATGAGCAGGAGGAATGGTGTAGAGAATAGAAATAGAAAACTCATTAGCCAGCACCACTATTTTCATAAGCGTACAAAGCCACACCATAAGTTTTTTTTGGACTGCAAAACTGTTATAGTCAAACATTTGAGCAAGGAAAAAAAGATGACTGAAAGTCTATCTTCCTAGTTTTGAAGCACAAATTGTTGTGATTTCTGTGTTTAACATGGTGAGTATATGTAATTGTGTATGTTTAATGTAAATGGAATAAAATGAGTATTCCTGTTCCTGTGCAATTGTCTTGCAAGCATTATAGTGCTACTCATAAACATGGGTCTAAACTTGAAGTGAATAGTCTAGTTTGAGATGACTAGTTTTTTAGTCTAGTTTGAGATGACTAGTCTTTTTTGAGTAGCATTTTAAAGTGGATTTTTTTTTCTTTTAAGTTTTCTTTTGCAGCTTTTTTTTCTATGGGAAAAGACACGCACTTCCCATAAACAGGTCAACATAGCATGGAGTTCCTTTAAATTAATCAGAAGCAGAACAGTAGTTGCAAGCATTAATTTTAACATCTTTTTGGGTCATAACGGTCATTTTTCATAACTTCACTGACTGTTGTTTCTAGCCTCCATAGGTCCCTACCCACTCTACAAGGAGAAACAATGACAGGAGGTGAAAATATAGTGCAAAGCAGCGGCAGCATTATGCAGTGTAGCTGTTTCCGCTGGCCAGTTGCTGCCAGCACTTCCTTTTACAATAGTGTAGCTGGACCAGTAGTAGCAAAAGCAGGAACCCTCACTATAAAAATGCCTAAAATACCTATTGTGGGTGTTGCTCCTTTAGCCACACGTTCCTCTTCCAACAGAATCACTTTCTTGTTTTCTTTTGGCAAGTCCAATCTGTAGATTAAACTTCAGCATACTTCATATAGAATCATAGAATCGTTTAGGTTGAAAAAGAGCTTTAAGATCATCAAGTCCAACCATTAACCTAATACTGTGTCATTGTTTAACCTGGCTGGCAACTAAGCACCATGCAGCCGCTCGCTCACTCCCACCCCCACCCCCAGTGGGATGGGGGAGAGAATCGTAGGAAAAAAAAAAAAAATAAGACCCGTGGGTTGAGATAGAGACAGTTTAATAGGAGAGAAGAATAACAATAGTAATAATAACAATGGTAAGAGAATATACAGAATAAATGAAACAAGTGATGCACAATGCAATTGCTCACCACCCGCTGACCGATGCCCAGCCCGTCCCAAGCAGCGATCACTTTGCCCACGACCGGCCGACTAACCCCCCTGAGCATGACATTATACTTCTGGTACTAAATCCAAAACACAGCACTATGCTAGCTACTATGAAGAAAATTAACTCTATCCCAGCCGAAACCAGGACACACTGCCATCCCTCGACTAAACCATGGACCTAAGCACCTCATCTACCCATCTTTTAACTACCTCCAGGGATGGGGACTCAACCACTTCCCTGAGCAGCCCGTTCCAATGCTTGACAACCCTTTTGCTGACAAAGTTTTTCCTAATGTCTAACCTAAACCTGTCCTGGCACAACTCGAGGCCATTTCCACTCATCTTATCGCTTGTTACTTGGGAGAAGAGACCAACACCCACCTCGATTCACCCTCCTGTCAGGCAGTTGTAGAGGGTGATAAGGTCTCCCCTCAGCCTCCTCTTCTCCAGACTAAACAACCCCAGTTCCCTCAGCTGCTCCTCATCAGACTTGTGCTCCAGACCCCTCACCAGCTTTGTTGCTCTCCTCTGGACACACTCCAGTGCCTCAATGTCCTTCTTGGAGTGAGGGGCCCAAAACTGAACACAGTATGCATGGTGTGGCCTCACCAATACAGATTACAGGGGCATGATCACTTCCCTGGTCCTGCTGGCCACACTGTTTCTGATACAAGCCAGGATGCCGTTGGCCTTCTTGGCCACCTGGGCACACTGCTGGCTCATATTCAGCCGGCTGTCAACCAGTACCCCCAGATACTTTTCCACCAGGCAGCTTTCCAGCCACTCTGCCCCAAGACTGTAGTGTTGCATGAGGTTGTTGTGACCAAAGTGCAGGACCTGGTACTTGGCCTTGCTGAACCTCATACAATTAGCCTTGGCCTATCGATCCAGCCTGTCCAGGTCTGTACATTAGACTGAGGGAAAGTGGACAGCTTCCTTGCTTGGAACTTAGACAGACTTGGAACTTGACACAGACACACACATGCACAGAGCAATTCCTGTATTGACTCAGCAGAGATGTTGCAGCCCCAGTTTGGGAAGCCACTGAAGAACTTGCTTATATCCATTCATCTTAGGAAATCCTTTTTGACTTTGAATGGTCTTAAGGATGTGTCTGAAAGCTGAGCATATGTTCAGGTATTTTTGGGTGTAATGATGCTTTCATTATACAGAATTGGAATGCGTAATCTTTTCATAAGTGTAGGCACTTTCCCCAGTGTACCCTGTCAAAATTTCTCCAGTGTTGCGCAGTATTTTGTGAGCTGGCAGACAAAAATTATATTAAAATGGAATAACACAAAGTAACACTTCAATAACTTTAGGATTAAAAAAATCCTGTGGATTTTGGTATCCACATCAGAAAATCCACTATCCAAACATTACTCAGATTGTCCGTCTCAAGTAAGAGTCTAAAGACTAGTCTGTAGGCTAAATGGACGGGAGGGGGGAGAAAAATTTACAATGAGTGCTTTGTAGTGTTATCACTGAGGGTTTGTAATGAACATTGGAAATAATTTCCCCATACCAGTCCCCATCCAGAGGACAGGAGAGCGTTAGTCTCCAGGGCTAATGAAAGGTTCCAGTTTGCCAACACTAAAGAGCGCACGTGGGACTGAAAAGGCAAATGACAGATTTTGAGTGTGCAAAATGCTCAAGCAGTAGGATAATATAATTAAAGTTATTTTATTTTCCTGTACTTTCTCCATGTAATTTTAGATGGGCTTCTGTAGTCCAAGGTAGTCTTACTTTCTGTTATCCACTGGCACTTTATATTGGCACTGGCTTTATAACAAGTCTTTAAATAGTGTTCGTTCTTCTTGAAACACCTAATAAACTGTAAAAAATGACCCAGTGAATGTTAAACAAAGTAGTTATTATGGCATTACATTGCGTACCATTGAACTTTCATCGTGGTACATCTCAGGCCTGCAGATACTTAAGCACATGCTTAAAACTCTGCGGATGTGCCCACCCTGACTGTGATCAGGGGGCTGGGGTGGTTTGCAGAGGCAGTCATGTGCTGAAGGCTTTAAAAATGTCCAGTGTTAAATGCTGGAAGGGAGCACTGTGATAAGGCGGTATCGTATGTTTGAAGGGCAAAAAGGATATTTGTACATTCCTGTGATGTTTAGTCTTCCGTGGGTGGCAGAAGCAGAAGCCTGAAGAATCACTACATCACACAGCTCGTTCTTTTCATGTGGCATTTTCACCTGCTTACCTTGGAAACTGTTGTCCCAATTTTCTGTTAAGAGTGTGCCTGAATTTAAAAGAGCACAGATGCCAATGAAACTGGAACCTTCCTGTGAAAATTGGGATTCTTCATCTGTGTATTTTCCTTTTCAGGTTACTGTATGTGGGTTTTTTGATGTACCACAATAATTTAACAGGTTTGCTGAATTCCACTGCAGAAGTGTGGATCAGGCTGCAGGAGATATGGCTGTCTCAGAGACAGTGCTGTAAAAAATAATGATTTTAAAGCGTTTTACTGCCTTGGGTTTGATCTGTTGTAATAGCTCTTTTTATTGTGAAGCATTCCTGACCCACCCCCTAAATTTGTAACACAAGGCAATGTTTTGCCAGTTGGAAGTTTAGTGACTGATCAAACTTTATAGATTCCTTGGTATTCTGAGTAACAGTATAATTAATTCTGATTACAGTACACAGTAATGCATATGAAATATGTAATTCATTGAGTCGCTACTGAACATAAATATGTATCACCTACTACAACGAGTTATTTCTAGGCTAAGTAAATTATTTGATTCTGAGCTATATTTCTTAATACTTGTTTATTTTTGCTTCTCATTTTGACTTGTTTATAATAGCTATAGAACAAGTGATCTTAGTTTTGTTATCATGGAAGGAATAATGACTGCAAACTGAAATACAGAGGAGAGGCAGAAAAGAGTTGGGAAAAGGCTGCTTTCACTGTTTATTTCTTGGACACTTAGAGGGTCATCGTTATACCATAGCAATAACATTTGTTCATCAGTGAGGGAGTATGGAAGAACTGCTCTGTCTTCTGTGCATGAAATAAAGATGTTTTTTTTTTTTTTCCAAAGGAGCAGTACTTACAAGCTAAAAATGCACCAATGAGGGAGTATGAAAGAACTGCTCTGTCTTCTGTGCATGAAATTAAGATGTTTTGTTTTTTTTTTCAAAAGGAGCAGTACTTACAAGCTAAAAATGCACCAAGAGCATTTTAAATGTGAATTTCAGTTATGCGATGTTTTCCTTAGTTTATGGAAATGAATTAAGTCTGTTTCTGACTTTTTTTTTTTCTCTTTCAGTTGTTCTTCAGGTGTGCAGCTTAGTCCTTTACCCAATCAAGTTCATCGAAACGGTCAGCTTGAAAATATACCATGAGTTCAACTGGGGCTATGGCCTGGCTTGGGGTGCAACTATATTTTCATTTGGGGGTGCCATTCTTTATTGCCTGAACCCTAAGAACTATGAAGACTATTACTAGAATCATTTAATAAAAAGAAAAATAACAAAAGGATTACCCCATCTTTTCTAACTCACAGTTTTTTTAGGACACTTGTGGAGCACCAAACAGTCTGCTCTGTTGATAAAATAGCCTTGGCCTTTTGGGTGTGAACACTATAACCAGCTTTTACAACCATTTAAAAGAACTGCAAACACTAGGATTGCTGATCTTACATAGGCAGATGCTGCAAGCTGCTGATACATAAGCTTCATTTTTTCCTGACAACAAGCAAAAGGATCTACGTGACAGCGATCATTGTGAGAAAACTAGTTGGAATGAGAATGCAACGCCAGCATCTGCTATTGCCTTCAGGGGAGCAGCTGGTATAGGCTCCATTTAGAAGTTTCCCTGTATCATAGAGGATTCAAATGTCTGATAAGCAGGCAATGGCATCTTGTACAATAGGCTGTGCTGTCCCCTTGTTACTTGCTCAAAAAAGCTCTTAAGGAATTAGTTGCAAGTGACTGTGTTGAGGGCAGTGAATGTAACTGGTTAATGACTTGTCTGATATCTGCATTCAACAGTCTCCTGGGAGAATAATAAAAAAAACCCAAAACCCAAGCCACCAACCACACAGGATTTCATGAATTGGTAATCAACATCACCGTGCCAGCTGTAGCAGATTGTTGAAAGAAGTCCAAACCTGGAGACATGTGCTTCTGACTCTGTAGTTGGAAGTTGTCTCAGCACGAGTATTTTGCTGGGAGGGTGGAGATAAGGGGGAGTAGAAAAAGACCTCGTCTGTCCCGAGGCATCTAAAATGCATGAATTAATTGCAGTTGTCCTAAGTACCCATTTAGCTTCCAAACATCGTCATGAAAAGAATGCATATGGAACGAGTTCAGTTATATTTTTGAAAGGTATTTGTTAGTATAAATGAATATATATAATAGAAATACAAATGCAGAGGGAGAGAGACAAGTAGTCTTAAAATTGTAATATGAGCTGTGATGCAGTGGTTAAAATAATAACTTTGTACACATTCTTGAGAGTCTTGGATTAATGCCCCCAGCTTTAGTTGGTGTTACAAAATAAAGATAAAATGGTTTGTCTTCTGTATAGGCCCTTGTACAAACTCTGTGTTATGGGAAATGCTTAAAAGTTCACATCAAGTTAAGGTGGAACTGGACAAATTAACTACTTGCTATTCCATGTGTAACCTAGTACTTACTAGAAATTGTTTTCTAAGACTGTTGCAAAGAAGAAACCTGTCATTTTTAAAAAATCTAGTTAGGTTGTGAGTGTCTCTGGTCATCAACAATACATCTGAGACCCCATCATGTCCATATTAAAACATTAGCACTTCAGGAGGTGATCTCTTGTCTTTAAAAGCTGAGTTTATAATGGACTGGCTGATGATTATGTACATCTAATTACTCCTTGCTTAATATGTTTCCCACTTCAAATATCCAGAGGCTGTACACATGAAATGAAACCCAAGATAAAATAGGGAGAACTTTCACATGAATTTAATCTGCATCACTTTTATTTTTGTTTACGATTTTCTTATTTGGATATTTTCAATTAATTATGAACATATTTTTATACAATTCTAATCTCTAGAAATAACTATTTTTTTTAATGGAGAAATTTAAAATATATTCTATGTGGACCTCTGCAAAAGCAGATATGCTGGGGTGGCACATCCACCTCTACACAAATGGTTTTGCTGGTTCCACAGAAAGGACTGCTGAATTACTCGATGTTAAGACCACATCTACAGTGTTAATGCTTGTGCCACGTTGGCAGGGTGCAGAGATTCTGCAATGACCATGGGACCATAGGGCTGCCTTTAGGAGGTTGTTGTGAAAGTATTGCTGGCGTACGTAGATGGTTTATAAAACTCTGGGGCTCTCTGGAGTTAAATCTTTACTACTATGGCAGAATATTCTGTATCAGCAGTCTTTCCAGGCACAGGGGTGATTAGAGTAGATGGAGCAAAATGATAGCTTGACTTGGAAGGGATGGTATGGCAATGCCTGGACAAAAAAAAGGATGAGAGGAAAAATTATGTCCACTTGTTCCACAGGTGCCAGAGAGTGTTTGTAACTAACTCTGCTTTTTTTTCCTGAGATTGGCTTTAGGCAGATATTCAGTATATAGTTAACTGTGTATCTTTCTGAAAAGCTGTGTAGTTCTGCTTTTATTTAGCAGCATGGAGAACGTTGTAGTTTGGCATGGGAATTAGGTTAACATAGAGAAGCCCACTGTGAGAAGATTTCTGTACCTTTCTACGAGGACGGTGTTTTGGTGCTGACATTGCACAGCACTTCGCCTATGCTGACAAGAAGGTACAGTGCTGAACCCATCTCTTATCTACTAATTTATCAAGTAATTTTTATTTATGTAGAGTTTGAGTGAAGACAACTGTCAGGCCTAAGGCATATGCAAATGAATGGCGTGCACTCTGAAAGTCACCTGGCTCTTAATACGAAAGGCATCAGGCAAAAAGCTACAAACGTGAATGCCCAAAGACAAGGTTCTTCATTCGTGTTTGAGTCCAAGATCTGATTTTCAGTCTCAACGCCTGCTTTTCCTCTTGAAGATAATGCAGTCTATTAGGACACACCTCTCAAACTCCTCAGGTCCTTTGCGTTTAGGCATCTAGTATAGGGGTTTAGGTACCTATCTTTAGTTTATGTTGCTACCACTGTTTCTTTCCCCCCCCCCCCCTTACTGTTGCCAGTTTTGGCAAGCATTCTGTTTTTCAGCACTGAACTAAAAGTAAATACAACATCATGCTGATTTTTTTTTTCTAGCCACAAAAAAGATGCATATCTGTGTCTTGAGTGTACGTATGACGAATTAATAATTTTGTATGTTGTGCTTGTGTCATGCCAACATAATTTCAGTTGTTTGGCTTTATCTCACTGGCAGGATGATTCTCTCACACAACAAATCCATTGTTTTTCTTCCAAATATATATGAATAAATATATATATAGCAAACTTGCAAGCAGGGCTAGTTATTTGTATTTTTTAAGCTTAAAGTATACCGTCCGGTGCTGACAAGTACCTAGCACCTCTTCTGGATTTCTTGCACAACTTCGTTTAGCTTTTGTAAATTTTAAAAACAAATATAGAGAGACCTATGTGTTTGAAATATAAATGATATATATGGATTAGCATGTAACTGTATATTATTAAACATGCAATGAACTGACTGGTAAGTGAAGTCTAATCTTATGGCTAGCAATGTAATTTATTCAGACTGTATTTTTGTACAGAGCAGTGCACACTAACCTATTGCCTCTGTGTCCTCTATAATGCCTAAAACTGTGCCTAGAAATTTCATTTCTGTCTTTAAAGGAAAAAAAAAAAAGACAACTAAATGCTTCATGTTGTTGATGGTTTTTCTGATGTTGTTCTTTATTTATTTTTGAGAAGTGTATGGTATGTTTATTAAATGAATCCATCAAAATATGGTTCGTTTTAAATGGTCATTGTTAGCAGGGAAAGACACATGGGTTTTTTTATCAGGACTGTTAAGTTTGCAGTTTTAATACCATTTCTGCGTTTCACGATTTTTGTAGCTTACATAAAGTTATATGTGAAAAAGTAACTGAAATAAAAAAAAATAATTGTTACACTAACCAGACGTGCCTGTTTTGCTCCAAGTGGTGTATATATGTACACAGCTGAAACTGGCCTGGTTTCCTGTTGGGCAGGCTGAGAAGGAACAGTCTGCTTAGGCTAATGAATATGCCGGGTATTCAGTTGCCATACTAAAGGAGTCTTATCAAAATATATGTGGGGAGAGAGGAAGAGAGGCAGGATCTTGCTGATGTAACCCCTCCATCTCACCTGGCCATAGAATAAATAGCACAGGTGTCTGGGTGTCACACAACCCATAATGCCTTTATAAAAATACAATTACTGTAACATCAGAAAACCAAATTGCTTTTAATGTGGTAAATAACCAGGCCATGTGTTGAAATGGGAATCTATACTGAGCACCTTGTTCCACTGGGGGAATTTGTTCATTATATACACATTTCTTTTTCACATTTCCAATAACTAATACTTATTTCCATTTTGAATCTGAAAGCCAGGCTATTTTTCACCCTGAAGAAAACAGATACTGTTTTTGAACCTCAAACGTGGTGTTGCAAACATGGAAAAGCATGTTTAAAACTCTGAAGTTGTGATACTGCAGTGTTTCTACTGTTTGAGAATGTGCTGTCATCCTCTGCATTGCTGGGTACCTCTCATGTGAGCAGGCAGCAGCGTGAAGAAGAGGCTGCCAGCAGAAAGCAGTAGGAGAATTGAGGGCGGAAGCCTTGGCTTCAGCGGACGATTGCAATGAGCAAGTACGGGCAGGAGGGTGGGGTGCACAGAGTGCATCCACCAGAAGGAAGGGATGTCATCCAAAGAGACCGAACTCAAGTAATGGAAAAGTAATTCAGAGCAGGGAGTGAGTATGACAGGCGGCAGGGATGGCGGGAAGGATGGGAGATGTCTGAAGATTTTTTTTCTTTTGAACTGCAAGTACAATGAGAGAGGAAGTTCATAGGGAACTATGAACCCACAGCCACTAGGGAGTGAGGGTGCAAGCCAGAGGTGATGGAAAGCATATTTCTTGAAGTCTGCATTAGAATTCTGGTTGTAGTGGGTGTGGCTTTAGGTGGCATATTGCCCAAGGTTTTGACCTGGCCTTAATGCCCAAATTTTAGGTCATCTGTGTGCCTATAGGTTGGCATAAGGTCAGAGGAGCCCACTGGCTTGCCAAGGGAAGAAATAAAGCATAGGGTGAGGGTGCCTTACTCAAACCTTGTCTATCTAAATGTGCTGAATGATAGGAGCACTGGCTGGTATACCCTCGGTGTACCAAAGATGCCCCAGTAGACTTTCAGTCTTGAGTGGCATCTCACAAAGTGTTTGATATCCACCATAAAAGCAAGCCTGCACTCTGCTGCTGAACTAGATGAAGCATGGCTGGATGTACAGCATGTAGTGAACAAGAGAAAATGTGTGGAAGAC